CCATCAAATAGTCCAATTGACTGCCTTGCAAAGTCGTGTTGCCTTGGGTGTCGACAATGGTGGCCCGGAACTTGCTTTGGATGACCGTGGAGGCCAATGCTTCCGGCTCGTTCTGCCAATCACCTCCAATGATGAAGGGAGCCTGCAAGTGGTGCAGGAAGGCCAGAAGCTTGCTCAAAATGAGGGAGTTGGCTGCTGACTGCAAAGTCTCACCAGTCTTAAGATAAATCTGGATGAGGTAGATCAACATCCCTTGCCGCTGAAGGCCAACAGCCATCCATCCATTGCCTTCGTGGGTGAAAGAGGGCCCTCGATGAGTGAGATGCCTCGTGGAATGCAAGGTCAGAAAGCCCCCGGTGGTGCCGCCCTGGCCCGTGGGGTGGGCCGCCAGGCCATAGGCTTTCCAGCCCCTATTGGAGTAGTACTGGATGGCCTTGGTGGTTCCTTCTTCTCCAAGGTGTGTTTCATGAAGAAAAAGGAGGGCATCCCCATGCGCCCATGTCCAATCTTGCACCTTGGCTCCAAAGTGCGTGACATTGCCAAAGAGCAAGGTGAGGGTCTCATGATTGTTCTTTTGCCTTTTTGTGAGCGGTGCCTCCATCTCAGCCTGGGTGTCCGGGACAAGTTCATCCTCCGGTTCCTTGACCAACCACACCTGCAGGATCTCCCTGCGCTGTTGCTCAGTCAGCTCCGCCAAGGGAGAGGGAAAGTCCCCATCGTCGGCCAGCCAAATGATGTTGTCCATAAGAAGGATGGATTGGTAGTGACCTGTGAGGTGGTCCTCACCTTGATGGAGAACCAAGCCAACTATCCTGTAAGCCCCATAATGGACATTCTGACCATCGTCTGAAAAGGGCAGGTTGATGTCGTGTCCAATGTCGAGTTCACTAGAATGCTTGGTCCAGGTGCCATCAACACATTGGGAACGCTGCAACTGGAGGACCAGGGCGTCCGGTGAGCCGTACAAGAACTGCCCGCCTCCTTCGTCACTCCACGCATTGACAAGTTCATCAAGCGATGTCGGGGAGTGTCGTGGAGGAAACAACAGGTTCAATGGCATCTGCTCACGAACCTCTGTGCGGCCCTGTTCCGTTCTATGGAAGAACTTCCCTTGGAAGAAATTGGAGCCTGCAAACTGCCAGAGAAAGCCCAAGAAGTCGGCAGCATCGGCCTGCCCTCCCGGGCAAAAACGATTCCAAATCGGTTCCAGGTGTGGGAGATGCGGGAGGAGTTGAGGTTCCGGCTCGGACAGATAGGACCTCACGGCCGGGTGAGTGTGGCCCCACGCTCTGGCCGCATCATCGGCGAAAGCCCCAGCCCAACACCAGCACCGAAAGGGTGCATTGCCAAAACAAAGGTTCTGACCGTCCGGGTTGAGCAGGACGGAGGTCAGGACCTGGGACACCACGAAGACATTGGCCATGGGCGGCTTGGTGTCTCCTGGGAGGCTGAGGTGTCTGTGTACGATGTTCTGCACGCGCTTGAGGTCAGCCAGAAGTTGTTGGCCATGCCGGAGACTGATGGTCTCTCTGTACTTCCTGCATGAGGAAAGAAGATCTTCTTGGCACAGATCGTAGAGGAAGATCTGCCCATCCGTTAGGCGAGATGTGTTCTCTCCCGCCATAGCCTGAGTCAAAACCCGAGCCAAAGGCGCCACTGGTGAGGTCCCGAAAGAAGCGGACCTCGTGAGAGGCCGCTCTGAGGTAGAGGAGCTCGGTGCCTCCTCAGTGATGCCTGGCTCAGTGGCCAAAAAGGGCGCAGGGCCCCCTCCCAAAACCTTCAGAGGAGGCCTCCTGCGCTGCGGCCCATAGCTCTCCAAGCCCCGCGGAGAGCCCAAATTTGAGCCTGAAGATTGCAAAGGTGTAGGTGATTGATTGTGCCAAACCCCACAATCAGAAAGAGAAAAAGGGACATGCTGCAAAGGACATGTCTGAAACCCCTGAGAGATGGTCATGGATGCATGAAGCGAATGGGCGGTGTTACCCGCAAGACTGATCCGTGCCCTCGGTGCGTCGTCGCTTGGCTTCCTCATCAGTTTCAGCTGGCGGCCTTTTTAGCATGTTTTGAAGCTGAAGCTGTTGATCCTCCGTCAAACTGACACCAAGGGTGTTGATGAATCCAGCAACGGCCGCTGGGACTGGGTCCGCACCCCCTGCCTCAGGCAGGCCTGCAAGGTCAGGCTTTGCTGAGTTGACCAAATTCATGTACGAGGTGCTGGTGTCTTGGAGAGAGCGCTGCTCAGACTCGATGCGGCCCTGAATGGCCTTCATTTCATCCAGAAGATCCTGGTACGCCTTCTTGGTCGAGTCAATCCTCTGCTGAAGTGTGTTCTTCTTGTGCGAGAGATCCTTCAGCATGGATACATGTGTCTTGAGCTTTGAGGCCACATCCTTCTCTGTGGGCGGGGAGGGCTTAGTCAGCTTCTCCACAATTTCCCTCACATTGGATGGAAGTTGAGCCAGATTCTCCATGAGGATGTCCTTCAAGTCCGGCCCCGGAGAAGGAGGGGGTGGCGATATCCCCAAAGCCTGAAGCTTCTGTTGCAAAGCTGGGTCCAAAGAGGTCCAAGTAGGGGCCAGTGCCTCAGCCGTGGCTTTCTGAAGCTTGGTCATCTTGGGCGCCTTGCCATTCAAGCCCGGCGGAGGCGTCACTGGGAGCTGCTGTCTGGGCCCCCTCTGTGGTGAGCGGGATGGCGGAGCCTTCGAGAACCCCTGAGGTGGTCGGGGCCATTGCTCACCACACTTCCGGCAGACAAAGCCTTCCCGCACCTTGTCCGACCAGATCCAGTTGAAGCACCCTCCACCGCCGCATACTTGATAAGCTCTGCACCACTTGCCGCCTGTAGTCATGGATCACCTTGCCCTTTCCGATCAGGCCGAAGAAGGGTTCAAGGAGGTAGGCGATCGTGCCGTCGAGCTCGCCCGAGTACTATACCCGGGCTTGAGGCTAAAACGGCTTGAGCCACTCTATGTATGTATATATATACACAAATATATATATATATATGTTGCATATATAATATATATATATATGCGGAAACATGTTGCACAGTGCCAGTCTGCTGACTCCACAAAATTCCGGCACTGAGGCTACGACAAGTCTTTTGACACCAACTCCTACAAGGTTGCAAGCAATTCCAGTGGTGTTATTTCTGGTGGACCAAATTGAATCTTCAACATGTATGACCTCACATGAAAGTCCCAAGTCTTTTCCCAGAATAGATCCTATGCATCGCAGGCGACCCCAGTCACTTTGATCGATGCTACGAGCAAAACAAGGACGCGACACTCAACACCAAACACATCCTAACACCGGTCTCCGGCCATCGCTACTAGGGTGGAGGCCATCCCTATTAGGGTGGAGGCCATTGCTAGTTGGAGGCCATCGCTTCTAGGGTGGAGGCCATTGCTATTAGGTTTCCTAATACCCGTCGGGGTGCCTCCAACTCTAAGAGTTTGCCAGAGGCCACCGTAGCAGCCACGTTGTCCCGCACCTCGTGATGCGAGATGACTCGGTTGACTCCGTCAGTAGAGATGCCATGAGATCTCACAGGCCTCTCGCGCTCGGGCTGCGAGGGGTGCCCACACGCGGCCTGGGCGTTTAGACGTCGACATGCTGAAGTGCCTAACACCTAAGACTACGAAACCCTTAGCATTGAGATATTCAAGGCATGCATGCATTGTAGAAATATGCATCTGACTATACATATACAAAGCAATTGTACTATTTATGTACTGTACATATATCATCATATATATATATGGTGTTTAATGCGGAACAGTCTACAGTGTGTTCGTCAACGCAAAGTGGTTGCCACTGCACCGCCTCCTTCGTTTGCCGGCTCCATCTAGGCCCGGAACTGCGGTCGACACAATTCCGAAGACTTCCGTCTGCTTTGGACGTAAGCTCCAAGATTGCCTTCACATCCCTGGCAACAGTTTGTCTGGCTTGTGCTGCCTTCACAACCAAAGCCATCCCTCAATGTCTCAGTGCCAAGAGGGCCTCTGGATGCAATCAGACAATCCTTCCAGGCAAACAGTTTGTAAAGGGATTCAAAGCCTCAATCTCAAATTCTCCCCGATCCTCCATGGCACATAGAAACCACGCATGACCCTTGACAACAGCAAGAAAACGGTGTTTCTTTGACAAAGGTTCCCCAGCCACCTGCCCACCCAACCACCCAGTTGCCTAGGCTGCTCTTCGATCGTGGAGGGGAGGACAGTTAACACCAAATCGCCTTAGCCAGTCTATCAATGGGCTTTACCTCGTTCTGCTGTGAAAGTTGTGAAAGCCTTTTGACAAGGGTAACGTCTGTCCTCCTATGTCTCACCCGTAGCGAGACGCAAAACATGAGGAACTCATGAGGCTCTTCAGCTTCGTGGCCTCACACGGCATTGAAGTCCAAGTGGCACCACGAGCGGCACGTGTTGACGTACTCGACTTCCATTTCGGGCACCTCTCAGGCGACGTAGGGAGGCACACTGAAACATAACCGAGGGAGGCCTCTGGCACAAAGAAACCAGAGCTGCCGTGCCTCTGGAACATGCTAAGTGAAATGATTCTCATGTGTGGGATTGAGGATCTCGCTACACGCAGCGAAGCGTGGCTTTTCCTCGGTCGCACTAGGCTTCGCCGAAATGCGCAGGTGAAACTCGGCATGAAGCCTTTCGTGGCTTCATCATTCTTGCCTGGCATGCCCGACGAAAGCCCATCCGGACCATTGGTACCAAGCGGGATGTCTGTTGCTTGCACAAAGTCGTTGCCCTCTTGATTGCTCTAACTCAACTTGTTTTGAGGCCGAAGCAACTGAACCTTAATTGTGTCCATCATGTTCATCTGCTGGTCCCTGTTAAGACCCTTTAATTCCGTCAGTGTTCAATTCCGTTAGTGTGGACCTCAAACAACCTCAAACAGAACAGCATTGATGAGAGACAAAGTCTGGTCTAGAGCCCGCCCAATTTCTGGGCCACCCCTATTTCCAGCTTGAGAGAAGTGGGAACTCATAGCTTCTGCCCACCTGATGAATATGTGAGATTCGGACACGATTCGGACACGATTCGCACGATTCGGTACGACACCAGTTTCCCGCTGAAGGCAAGGCACTGGGTACGTCCGGCCCCCTCACGCAGCAGCACTTGGGCGCAGTGCTCTTTGCCCCGCTCCTGCGCCAGCTGCAGCAGGGTGTGGCCACCAGTATTGGTGACCTCCAGGTCCAAGCCCTCGCCAATCAACTGCCTCAGGACCTGAGACAGGATCTCAAGTGGGATTGGAACTCGGAGATCCCATGGACTCAGCAGTTTTTGGATCGAATGATTCCTTGTGTCAAACACCTGGACCGTCCTGGACCTCAATTGGTCGTCTGCGAGGCTCTAGATTCCAGAAACCCATGCTTTTCAGTTTCCACACACGCCTTTGTCGTGAACCTCCAAAATCGCTGAGCCCTCTACTCTACTGTCAAGCCAATTTTCTGTAGTACCTCAGGCACTAATTCTCTTGCCAACCCCAAGTGGAGGCACTAGTTCGTTCTCCAAGAGTATAGGATCCTGAATCTCCCAAGGTCGCCCAGACCATGGCTGTATTTCGCCAGGGCTCGTCTGCATCATCTCGCATCACCGCCTGAAAGGCTTCCCGGTCAATGTTCCCGTTCTTCTTCCCCAGCGTCACCGAGTCCTCGCAGCTAACAGTCGACTGACACCCTCTTTAGATTCAGCTGCAACGTCGATCCGCACGAATCATTCCCGCTCGTCCAAAAAGTCGCCAACAGTGTACAGATGGTGCTATCGCCCTCTCCTGGTAAAGGCGCAAGGCTGCTTGAGCCTTCGGGTCCTCAGTCTGTCGACTGCACTGGCCAGGACTCAGTTCTGAAACATCAAATGCAATCAATTGCCAGTTCTTGCCAATTAAGCATCCATTCCAGTTGAACATCCATGAACAGACGACACTGTTCACGACCCAAGCATTTGCCCGGTCCTTGAAGTCTCGATTCCCTACCCGTCGCAAGGTCTCGTCTTCCTCCAAAGCACTTTGAAGCCGAAGGTCCATCCTTGGGCAAATGAGCGCTCGATGAGGTGTTGGGAGTGGAAGGGAACAGTACTGCCACAAGGACCTTTAAAGGCAGTCTGGACTGCGAACTAACATTGAAAGCAGGGTCTTACATTAGGTGCGAAATGCCATGGCACCTTTTTCCTGAAGCTCCCAGGTACAAGAAGCCTTCTTGTAACGTACAAATATATATATATAAGTATTCATCGGTTATATAAGTCACAATGGCCAGCTTGTGTTTTCGAGGATCCGAGCCATGGCCTGGAGATCGCCCTCCTCGGCTGCACGTCGAAGAGTTTGCAGATTCATCGGCTCTTCATGCGGCACAACCTGTCCAGTCGTGGCCATGTCTCCACGAGGAGGCAGCTGCAAGCAGCAAATATCAAAGGGATCAAAACTAAACATTTGGAAAAATGTTCCTTAAACCCTCGCTGTTCCACGGCCAAAGTCTACCCTCGCTCGGCCTTGTCTTTGAGAGCCTTGGGGCTTGGCCTTTCCAGCAGCAACTTTTCTGCCGCTTTTAGGCGTTCCTTCCTCGGTTTCCAACATCTTCCAGTCGATCATAATGGATCGGCCTAGTGTTCCCCTCATGTCGAGTGGATTTAACCGTTTTGTTTGTGGATTGACCCAATAAAATACTCAAATGTCGTGCAAATGGTGGAAAAGATTGGACAAAAAGCCGTTTCAAAATCCACTCCGCTGGTTGATTGGGAAGATCTACGGCACTAAGTGAGACTCTGTCCCTTTCCCTATTTTACTGCCGAAGGGAAACCACCTGAAACACACCAAACCTATAGATTCTGTCCAATGAGCAAAACAAATATCAAAAATGATCAGGATCGCCAGCTCATTCCAAGGGTCTCTTCCTCCCTGGTTCCAGGTGCCGCTTCTAACAGTAGTCTCAGGGGGTTCTCTGGACCAGCAGCCAAGGCGGCATCCGCCTGTGCCGCCAGGCGAGCACGGAAGGCCTCGCCCCGCCGGTCCACTGTCATGGCGATGGTGTCGCTCCAGCATCGGATAAGGGTCGGCGATTCGAGCAGAGTGATCGCGGTGAATTACAGATCGACATGTTTCTCCATCTATTTGGTGGACCTCCCAGTGTCCTTGCAAAGCCCACGGACCTGAAATAATCTTGTCTTGGAAATCTGCAAACAGTCTTCCAAGCTGGCCTCTCGCAGCATTTTGGCTGCTTCCTCTAGAGATCCAACAACCTGGCAACTTGGCCAAGGGGATCCACCCACTCATGGCAGCAAATGCTCGTCAAATCGAAGTACACAGAACACAAAAGAAACATTTTTGTTTGCCCGCTCCTACTTGATCAAGTAGGCGCCTGCTTAATTAAGTAAGGGAGAAGGAAGCTACTAGCTACTTAAGCTACTACCGACCGGACGCAGGATAGCTCACGCTAATCATTTGGCTCTTCCATTTTGAGGGAAACTAAACATTGAGAAGCTCACCCTACAAATGTCAGACTTTTTTGATTCTTCCTAACATCACTGACAACAGTCACAGAAGATTGACCGAACTTGCTTCTGGGTGCCAAGATAAGCCGCTACAGCCAGGTTACTTCCGGTGAATGGAAAATGTCCTCAAAGGTTGGGAATTGGGGTTCCAGAAGGCTGAGGCTGAAAGAGAAAAATCCACACTGCCAGTAACAGGATACTTTGGACTATCATTTGTCGCAAGGAATCCCACTGGCTTCCTGTTGAAACATGGTCAGAATTCGAAGTGGAAACCTTGCGCGGTGCCTTTTTGGATGTTGGAAGCAATCTAGTCGCTTCACATGCACTCCTTGGCGACAAGTGCTGAAGCTCCTCAAGCTCTGCATCATCTGTTTATGCACTCGGTGTTTGTTCCAGTCAATTCATCCACTCTGGGTGCTCGACATGGAGTACTCGCAAGAATCCAGCAACTTCCTCAGCTCCTCTTTCACCAGGGCCTGTGCAAAAGGGTGGAACCGGGTGGAGCTCGGAAACCAAAAGTCAAATCGACAGCAAGTACGAACAGTACTCAATGGTTAGATCCTCAGAATGAAAGTGGAGATCATTTTCGCTCTAGAATCCTGTGCTTTTTCACGTTTTTGGAGTCGGCTTAAAGTGCTGGAAGATAAATTCGTGCTAATGTTTGCTATCTTGAAGCCTTTAGGGATGCAAGAAGTGCAATTTTCTGCTTTGCATCATCTGCATCATCTGAATCATCTGAGCGGTACAGTGTAATTGGACTGAGACCGGACATTTGGCTGAACAGGTTCCCCTAACGGGGCTCAACATAGCTTCCATATTGCGTAACATAGCCCTAGAAGTCACTATCTAACGGACGTGTCTGCGAGATAGGGACTTGAACGTCCGGGTACGTGGCTGGTCAGGAGCAGAGATAAGCAGATCAGGTCCAGGAACGGTAACATTATCTCACGACCATAGCTCCCATATGGTCGAACATAACCCCAGAAGTCACTATCTCAAGTATGCTTCCCCGAGATAGGTACTTGAACGTCGTAAACATGGCCCAACGAAGGCTCCAAAGGGACTGGAATAGAGTGAAGATATTGCCTAACAGAGCCCTAGAAGTCACTATCTAAAGGACGTGTCTGCGAGATAGGGACTTGAACGTCGTAAACTGGAATAAAACCCCCCCCTAACGTGGCCAAACATAGCGTCCATATTGCCTGGCATAGCTTTAGAAGTGCGACGGTCAAGTCCCTATCTTCCTTTCATACTGACTCCCTTGGCTCCAAGAGCACAAGACCCCCTTCCAGATCGTGTTCCTTACTGACGGTAGCAGTCTTTTAACCCCCCAACTACATTGGGCCATGTTAAATCCCTATCTCGAAACATGACCGGGAGGGGATCACTTCCGGGGCTATGTTCGGTGGAAATATTGTCCCCTTCCATGCGGTGCGGGCGGTTACCGTCGCGAAGCGACGTGAATACAGTAGCTCCTAGAATCAAGCCCCTCTCCAACTGGGCAGCTTCCGAGCCTTGTACTTCTGGCCCACGAGGTCCGACTTGTTTGCCTCAGTCAGGCTCGGTCTCTCAAGACCACTCGCGAATGTCAGGACGCTGGCACGCGCAAGGCTTGTATTTACATAACAAGAGTTGTTTGCCTGCTCCTACTCAATTAAGTAGGCGCCTACTCAATTAAGTAAGGAGGTAATTCACTACTAGGCTAAGTTAGCTTCTAGGTAGGAAACAGGATAGCTCACGCTTCTCGCGCTACTCATTTGGTTCCTAGATTTTTAGAAAACTTAACTTACTCAACTCGCAGCTGGCCTTACTTGCATCCAGCAGAAAGAATGCAAACATGCAAACAACCACACATTGCTTTTTGAAAGGTGAACGATGGTGAAAGAACCTTTACATCATTTTCGCATCGTTTTTCACATGTCTTTCACATCGTTTTCACGTGTCTCCAAGCCCCTTCAAGCCGCCCAGCTCGGAAGTTGTTCACTTGCTTGCTGAGGCGGACCATATGCTGCGAGTGCGCATTCGCTTGCACAAAGTGAAACACCGGAAGACCAGGTATTCCCAAAGTTTGGAGATGTGGTGTGGAAGGTGTGGAATGAGAACACCGGGTCTCGAGAACGATATTAAGACCTTTCTTTCTGCCTGTTCTTTGTTTCTAAGAGCGATGGGCTCCACCCTAGAAGCGATGGCCTCCAACCACCGGAAATCCACATCTACAGTTTCAATATGTTTCAAGGCAGCTCAATACTTCCACCTGCTTTGATTTGCAAAAACCGATACAGCCCGGCCCCCGTCCTTGGATTGCCGCAGTTAATCTACTCCCTCTTTATCCGCGCTTGCTTTCAGGAACACCTCGCTTTGCTTCTTTGTTTTGTTCAGAATGAATTGGGGCAGCTTGTAAGTCCTTGGCCCAGTCTTGGCCTCATTAACAAGTCCCTTTCTAAGAGCTCTGATGATGAGTCTAGTCAATCAAGTACAATATTCTACACTTTGGAAGCAGTGGATGCTGCTGAACTGGACCGCACCTCCAACGCCCCTCTGTGCTGCTTGATCAGTCGAGGGTCCATCAAACTATGGAGCTCCTGTCCACCAGCACCAGACCCAGGCTATCTGGAAATGCATTCCACATGATTTGGCAAATGTAATTAAGCCAGTCTCACCCTCAAGCCCCAAACTGACAGCGTTTTATATAGAATGTTTTATATAAATCGGGTACAGTAGTTGCTCAAGCGGGCACAGGAAGTTTCTGAATTTCGGCAAGGAGAAGTTGCGGAAGCGAAGAATTTCTGAATCACGTAGTTGTGGAATCGCAGTTGCTGAATCGAGCAAAGTTGCAGAATCTGAGTTTATCCTTGAAATCTAAGTCTTGGCCGACTACTACGGCACTAGCACTATTTGTCCTCATATCTGAAAACTGCAGCTGATTCCCGCCGAAGTCCTCAACCAACGCATTGGCCAGGTTCTGGATGATGCCAAGGGATTCCCGATCCTGGCGTGGGAGATCCTGATTGCCAACCCATGTCTGTACACTCATCCTACACAGAGTCGTCCCTTTGGGAGAAACAAGACTGTTCTTTTGACCACATCGACCTCGCCAGTGATCAACTGAGTGAGGCGGACCGTGCCCTCGCTCTCAAAATAACCATGGCATTGCTCCAAGTCGTTGACCTCAAAAACGCAAACGGCGCTGAAAAAAGTCTACAACCCAATCCGTTCTGGTCCAGATGGCTAACCAAGGATATTGCGAAGTCGAGAGTTCTCCAAACGTTGGTTCCCAACTCCAGGCTCCCAGCCGCACGGCTAAGCTCTGCAATGTCTGGCGGCTGCCCGCTGGCCTTGCCGCCAATAGTTGTGGCTGCAGTATGCTCCTCTACTTTGAAAGTCACAAAATTCACCTAAAACTTCTTTCCTATGCTTCTCGTGGCATATTGACGACTATCATAGTTCAGAGCATACTAAGCACCAGGCATAGGTCTTGCACCAGGGCTTTCTCATCATCTGGCACGCAAGTTGGACAAATGCGCTGCTCAACCAGCTGGAAAAACTCTCTTTACGGAATGTTACAAGTGAATCTAAAACTATCTAAAACTAGTTCCAAGCGCAGAGTGGTTGAAAAGCACGATCAATATTGAAAACAAAAGTGTACTGAGTACTGTAACATATCTAAGTTGATGAGAGACTGCAAAGCTAAGGGGGGAGCAATTCTCAACTTCACATCTTCAAGTTTTGCTTTCCAAACAGCACCTTGGAGACATGGACATCAGGAGACGTGTGCAGAGGCTTCAAAAGGATTTCAAAGTCTGTTCCATTCTCTGAGGCTTCAAAGGCTTTATTTGCAATGATTCCACTCGAACGCAGCCGCAGGAAACCACACTCACATACTAT